GAGCAACAGCACACAAACTTCCAAAGATATTCTAAAGCTGCAATGTATTATGCCAACGGTATCCCTGTCTCTTATGGTCCTACCCTTATGCACTCCCTCCCCACATCCTTATAAAGGGGTGCACCCCTCCCTGAATGCTTATAATGGGATGCACCCCTCCTCCAAATTCTTTAAAGGTGTGCACACCTTCCCTAGATCCTTATAAAGGAGGTGCACCCCTTTTCCAGATCCTTTAAAAAGGGGTTCACCCCCTCCCCAGAACATTCTAATAGGGTGCATGCCTTCCTCTGATCCTTATAAAGGGGTGCTCACTCTCCCCAGAGCCTTTTAAAGGGGTGCACCCCTCCCCAGATCCTTATTAAAAGGAGCACTCCCTCCCTAGATCCTTATAAAGGGGTGCTCGCTCTCTCCGGATCCATTTAAAGGGGTGCACCCCTTCACAGATCCTTACAAAGGGGTGCACTCCCTCCCCAGATCCTTATAATTGGGTGCACACACTCCCCAGATCATTCTAAAGGAGTGCACCCCCTCTTCAGAAACCATTTAAGGGGTGTTTCCCCTCCCCAGATCCTCATAAAGCGGTGCACCCCCTCCCCAGATCCTTCTAAAGGGTTGCTTGCACTCCCCAGATATTTATGAAGGGGTGCATGCCCTCCCCAGATTCTTTTAAAAGGTTGCACCCCTTCCCCAGATCCTTATTAAGGGATGCTCGAGAGCCTTAAAAAGGGATGTACCCCCTCCTAAAATCTTTTTAAAGGGGTGCACCCCTACCCAGATCCTCCAAAAGAAATGCACCCCCTCCCCAGATCCTTCTAAAGGGATGCACGCCCTCCCAAGATCCTTATAAGGGGGTGCTCGCCTTCCCCAGATCCTTTTAAAAGGGTGCACTCCCTCACCAGATCCTTATAATTGGGGACACCCACTTCCCAGAACCTTCTAGAAGAGTACACCCCTCCTCAGAACCTTTTAAAGGGATGTTCCCCCTCTCCAGATCCTTATAAATGGGTGCATCCATCCCTAGATCCTCATAAAGGGGTGCACTTCCTCCCTAGATCCTTCTAAAGGGGTGAACACCTTCCCCAGGTTTTTAAAGAGGATTGACCCACCTCCCGAGATCCTTATAAAGGGCTGTACCCCCTCCTCTGATACTTTTAAAGGGGTGCACGTCCCCCCAGATGCCTATAAAGATTTCACAATGTAATTTTGACTTTACAAAAATGTGTTTGTATATAAAATTTCCCCTATAATGGAAGCTGAATTTCGTTTTTATTATAATGGGATATTGTTAGATCCTCTGTCAGGCCTTTTTTTGGTCTTGTGTTTCTCCTATGGAGATGCACAATCACTACACCCCCAAAAGAGAGCAAGAAAACCTGACAGATGTTCTAAACTTTTCTTACTCTATCCAAAGATAGATAATATTTTGGCTGCATCTAGTGCTTAAGGTAGAAGTAAAGTTGTTTTTATAAACAGCTCTGACAGGTAGGCTTTGTATGGCGGAAGACACTGTGTATGTGTCTTCTGTCATAGACGTATCTCCCTGCCAGCACTATTTTTGTACACTGAGCAACACATGCGCCCCTCACTGCAGGGTCTGTGCCGGGACGAAGTACCTTATGTGCTCATAATGTGCTAATGTACTGTGCATACTTGGCTAAAAGCTTCTTTCCCCAACCAGACTCAGTCCCATTTATAACTTTAATCGTTTCTTTTAGTTTAAGATTACAGCATGATACTATTTGAGAATCCTTATAAAGGGGTTCACCCCCTCCTTAGATCCTTATCAAACAGGGGGAACCCACTTACAAAGGGGTACACCATCTCCAGAGATCCTTATGAAGGGGTGCATGCCCTCCTCAGATCCTTATAAAGGGGTGCTTGATCTCCCCATATCCTTTTAAAGGGGTGCATCCCTCCCCAGATCCTTATAAAGGGGTGCGCTCCCTCCCCAGATCCTCAGGCTCAGTCCTTTGTGCAGTATAACTTTAATAGTATTTTTTAGCATAAGATTACAAGATGATACTATTTGAGAATCCTTATAAAGGGGTGCACCCCCTCCTTAGATCCTTATCAAACAGGGGGAACCCACTTATAAAGTGGTACACCATCTACAGAGATCCTTATGAACGGGTGCATGTCCTCCTCAGATCCTTATAAAGGGGTGCGCTCCCTCCCCAGATCCTCAGGCTCAGTCCTTTGTGTAGTATAACTATAATAGTTTTTTTTAGCATAAGATTACAACATGATACTATTTGAGATATATGTATGCAGGTTCTGTGCTTAAGTGCCCTCCACCGGAGACAGGAGGTACTCACCTGCGGTTGATGGTCGGAGCGTGACCTATGTGGTAATAAGTAAGTGGCTATATGGACATAAATGAACATAATAATGTTATTTGACTTATGTGCTCCTTTTTACAAGTTGTTAAATATTTGTTATGTCGTGTGGCGCCCCGCCATTTGAGAACCAAGGATCTAGACCTA